GGGGCGGGCGGGGGGGGCTGCTCCATCCGGGGATTGGAGGCCTGCGGTGGTTTTGTTTTTCTGGTTGAGACTATGAGGCGGGGCGTGACCCTGGCCTCCCGGCCTCTGCCCGGCTGATGGTGGCGGGGTCGTTGCCTCCGCCCTCTGGGGAGCTGCAGCCTGGCTGTGCCTCCCTGGACCTTCCTCCTGACCGGCGACGGGAGGGCGACCGCGTCGGGGACTCACAGGATCCCTAACAGTCAGTGCTAACGTGACTTTGCTAGAAGATGTAAGGAAGGTGGAGACGGACGCACGGACACCACGGTTGACCTTTAACAAGGAGTTCAGAGTGCGGTCTGAGACGTCATCCCAAGGGCACTGTGCTTGGTGTGGGGGGTTAACCAGCCATGACTATTTCATATCCAAGGGTTTATAAATAGGATACGTTCCAAACATACTTATCCTTAATAAAGCATGACACTTGTCTTGAAATAGCTCTTCATTGAGAACCAATCACAACTGTAGGGAGAGTTAGTTGTTGTATGAGCTTTGCAAGTCAAGGGTGGCCTTTTTACAAAAGCCAGTTTCTTCGGAGGTAAAAAACTTTTCATACAGTACATTTCTCAACTAATGAACCATCATTGACAAATTACTAAATCCATTTTCAGACTTAAAAGTGTGTGTTGTTTTTTAAACCTATCCTCTTTTCTGTTCCATGCTCCTGTCCTGGAAGTCATTTGTTTTGAAATACTGGAACAAAATCCTTGTGTGTGTTTTTTTCGGTAATATAGTATTAACTTTTGAAAAAAAAGGAATGTTTTGATCCTGTCCTTCACGTTCTACAATGAACTTAGCAGAGACTTAGGGCGGGCAACCGAAGTCACAAACATTTACAACACTCCTAAGTGCCGGCCCCCAGCAGAGGAGGTCACCTACCTCCTTGTGGCCAGAGCCCCTTACCGCCCACGCTTAATCCCAGGGGAAGAAATGGTGTCCAGTTAAAAAACTGGGTGTCACCTGTAGTGTAATTTAACTGTTGGCCTGCTAATGTCTTCCTCCCTCCTAACAAAACTATTGAGACTTCAGGCACCAAAGAAAATGAAGTTACTGAAAACCACAGCGCGGCTTCTCATGCCGTCAGCGCACGCGTGAAAAGGAGCCCGGAAGACGTTAGCTGCGCTCACTCACCTTTCTCACTTAGGCGGAAAGGCGTGGGGGACCGGGACCGCGACCTGGACCTGGACCTCGACCTGGATCTTCCCCGCCAACTCCCGTGCTCCTCCGGGTACACCGTGCGGCCAAAGCCGTAGTAGCGTCGCCCCCGCGTGACCGCGTCGGCCCTTCGGTAATACGACCGTCCCCGAGAGCGGGACCGGCTGCGCGATCGGTCTGGCGAGGGAGACCGGTACCTCCTGGAGGAGCCGTAGTGCCTCTCCCGGTACCGGTACCGGCGGCTGCGGGACCGCGACCGGCTCCGCGAATAAGACCGCGAGTAGCGCCTGTACTTCCGCTGGTGGCGCCTTTCCCGAGGCCGCCGGGGACTGCAGGGGCGAGCCCGGCCACATGTCGTTCACGTAGTTTGACATCTGGGCCTGCGGTAGGGAGCTTCCTGGTCTCTGAGGATCCTTCCCGAAGGCTCGGTTCCTAAAACGGATGGGGGAGGGGAGGAGTGACGTCCCGGAAGTAAGGCCCGCGGTGGTTGGGGGAGGGGGACCGCGGGCCTCGACAAAGCAAACGAGACTCGCCAACTCCGGTGCAATCGACGCCAGACGCCGGCCTTCCCGCCGGGCTAGCGACCCCCTTTGTGCACCAGGCCGGGCCCCGTACTTTCCCCGCCACCCACGCCGAGGTCCCCGCGGGTCCGACCTCGCCACCAAAAAACTTACCACAGGCCGCCGACCTTCACGCAGGACGAAGAGAAAGTTCCAACAGACGCCTCCCTTCCTCAGCCAGGGACGAAGAGGGGATTTTTTTCCACAGCCGCTCCGACCGCGAAAACCAGACCCGCACCTCCGACCTCCGGACACGAACTGAACTGGGCGGCAGCTGACGCCTCGAAAATACTAGAAGCTGACGTGTGGCGCATGCGCAGAAACGTTGGCGCGATGGGCGTGGCCTCCTTTTCGCCCAACCGCCGCCCTTCCTTCCTTACCCCGCCCGCCCCGCCCTCCCTGCCTCCCGCCTGGCGCCTAGGCCTCCAGGATGCGCACGCGTGAC